AAGTCCTTCAGTTCCTGTCTTCCCTTGAGGTTTGGAGTCTGTTTGAAAGTTTTTGTGGAGAAGGTGTGAAAAGTAAGGGGTCCTACACTGTGAGACCTCGAAAGGTTGACTTCACCACTGGTGGTCCCGAGGAAACCGTGGAGTCACCCAAACCCATTGTAAACGGTGGAGAAGCTGAATCGATGCCTTCACTCTCTTAGCTGCTTTAACTCATTGTTACATATATATATATATATTCTTCTATTTGATCTGTTTCTGAAATCTTCCAACTTTCTCAATCCTGCCGGTGCAGTTTGCCAAAATAAACACAATGATTTCTTCTATGTGACCTTGTGTAAACCTATTCTGAATGTAAAGAGCTGATCCACTCCTCATCTGGCCTCTGTATGCAACAGATCCTGTTTGATCCCCTTCTTCTTTGCTTTCTCCAGAGCCTTCCGGACTATACAAAAAACTTCTTGCGGTGGTGGAGGTGGGAATCTGCAACCTATGGAGATGGAGAACGAAAGTTTCCATGTATATATTCTCATATATCTTCTATTTGAACCGGCTCCAACCTCCTGGTGAATTTCAGGGCGGATCCACTGAATTCTTAAATACCCTCTGACCTTGGCGGGCACATCTTCCTCCGGCGGGTGGCCCTTCTTCTTTGCATTTTCTGGCTCCTGCCAGAAAAGAAATAGGTTTGTGGCGGCGGTGATAGGTTGTTGCATTGTAAACGGTAGAGAAACTGAATCGATGCCTCCACTCTCTTAGCTGGTTTAATTCTTTGTTTTATATATATAAGCATATACGAGCATATATATATGTATTAGTATGTTTTCTTCTATTTGAATTGGTTCTAGAATCTTCGAACTTTCTCAACCCTGCCTTTGATGTCTGAAGACCGCTGCAGCAAATACAACCTCGATTTTCTGCTTTATAGCGAAGACGGAGAATGGACTTGACCAAGTCCTCCTTGTTTCTCTTCCGAGGGACTCCGGCCACTTTCAGTTCCTCCTGAAGAGCCTTACCACTCTCAAGTTCCAGCTGGTGCTTGCATTGTTGAAGCCATGTGGCAGCAGCGCGTGCCTGACTTTTGTCAGTGAAACTGTGGGTGGTTTCCCCTACTTCCAATCTCCACTTCTTCCACCCATTATGGAAGCGAAGCTCCTTTGGCATACCCAGCAGATCCCGATCACGCAAAGCTCTTGCAATAGCATCCTGAAAGGGTTTGATAGGTGACTGGCAGGTTCATTTCTTCAATCTGGAAACAGGGACCCTGGTAAATCCTATTTGGCAAACTCTGTCCTCCATGAGTGGTTTGGGCTTCAGAGAAACAAGTACACTCAGCGCAATCATGCCGACATTGCCGACAATCATACCGTTGCCAACTCCCCGATGCCACAAACCTGTGCTATCAACTGGAACAACGGGAACCAATGCTGCTTCTCCCAATTCCTGGCGAGCACTAATCGGCGCAAGTAGAAACAGTCGTTGTACAGCAGTCAAAGCACCTTTTCAAATAGAAGATATTGGTATATAAGGATCTACAGAGGGTAATGCAATTGAATGTTCAAATAGAAGAAACTCTTGAACAATTCCAACACTTGTTTAAGTCTAAGTTTGTAGCCCTCTATCCTTGTGTACTGGAAATCCCGTAATGGCCATTTTCTCAGCAGCGGTGAGCCACCGCTCTTTGCTCGTGAGCATGATGCGGCGGGTACTGTCTGTGGTAAAAGCGGGGAGCTTCTCTGGGGAGCCCCCCATGTTGATGAAGCTGGGGTCTTGGGACACGCAAACTGCACGGATCGGTCTGCTTTCCTTTGGAAGATCTGCTTGGCCCAAATCCTTCAAATAGGCCCGGTAGTTAGCTTGCTCAGAGGAACTCAGAAGAACTCTCCAGTCGGACATGTCCATGTGCAGGATTTTATCTCGGTCCAATGCACAGTTCTGATTACAATTTTCAAGCATCTCTTGTCGGAGCTCATGTGGAAAGCTCTCTGCTTCCATCCAAGCCACATCCTCCAGCGGAACGGGCTCAAGGACAGACTGTAAGTGGTTCACCATGTTGCTGTAGACTTGTGCTGGGTCCAACACCTGCTCCATATACTTGTCCAGGATGAACACGTCATACCTGACCAAGGAGCACGCCTCCCACCCAATATCTTCTATATATTTAAACGCTCTACTGTAATATCTTCTATCTTTGTGGAAGGCGTTGAAGAAACATGGAGGAAACAAGCAAATGCCTGCATATAATTGAAGTTCAGTTGCACACGTTTGCGGCTGTTTGCATGCAAACCGCAGTCCGATCCAGTAGTTTTGATGGTGGATACGTGCCTATAGTGGAAATGCTCCAATTTTCCAGCTAGGTAGCTGGAAGAGAATCCTCGAACATTCTCGTGTATGAGTATTGGGGTCTCAGCCCTACCGTGGGCAATGGCCCACGCCAACAGGAGCTTGTTGTATTGGGATTCTTCGCGTAGGAGCCCTCCTTGGTCTTTTTTTCCAAGCGTGCTGAAACCCTTGCACATTGAGCCAGATATGTCCAAAACCGTTCGAGGCACAGAACACCTCTCAGGGATGGTTTTGTGTCCATATTTGAACTCCAAAAACGATTTCTTCTATTTGAACAATATGGGAGCGTGTACTCAGTCTTGGTTGTGAACAAATGAATCTTGGGGTAGGATTTATGTACTCTCTTTGCCTTTGTATCAACTTCAATCAATTTCTTCTTTTTGAAAAACATATGCACTGTCATATTATATGACCCCCACCTGTTCCTGTGGCGGGGGCAAAGCTGTTCATAAACAAACTCTTGCTTCAATAAGAACGTCCACACGTCCTCTGAGACCTTGGGGCAGGTAGCTTCAAGCTCCTGGAGACTTTTTCTGGAGCTCTCATTTAGCATTCTCAGAATGTCGACATATTGGCAACAGTGTTCTGGAATCCGGTCCACTGTTGCACCTCTGGCTTTGGCAGAGATCTCGAACTCGTAGGACGGCAAAAAGGAGTCACCCCCCCCCTTTCCAACCTTCCTCAGAGCTCCGGCCAGCATAGCCAGCCCCAACTCCGCACATCCGTGCCCAGAAAACCAAGTCGAGTATGGTAGCTCTTTCATGGTGCCAACCCATGCCAATAAATTCTGTTCATCTGCCCATTCCACACATACCTGGGCCCACTTGAAGCTGTTCACAAGGCGTTGTGGCAGCTTCGTCGGCTCCATGGGCATGCTGGGCAAAAGTTCCCAGTCCCAGTTCACACTATATAGACGATACTCGTCTTGGTTTCTTCTATTTATATAGTAAAGCCTGCAACGCAACATATAAATCTAGAACCAAGAATGGAATGCCTGTAAGCTGAATCATATTAGCTCGTCCAGGGAAAGCTAGAAGAGGATCTTACATAATCTTACATATATATATATAGATATATGCACAAGTTCTTCCCATAACAGTGAAAATGATTGTTTGTTTTGCTTTTTTTGCATGGAACAAGTTGCTTCTGTCGTGTCATCTGGGCCAAATCAGTCACCAGTTGACTGATCTAGAAAGAGTGCTGAATGCTGGGCTAAGGTTTTCTTCAGCCATTTAGATATGTATTACATAGAAGACAATGCTAGTCTTTTCTTCTATTTGATGTGTGGTAAGTGCTTTCATTGTTGCCCAAGAATACATTGCCTGGAAATTGAATCACATCACAGCTTCCTCAGACAGCTTTTCTAGGAAAACAATCAAATTAATACAGGTTCCGAGATGTGTGGCTTTACAATAAGACCCTCCAACTCTTCTTGGTTTCCATCCTCCTGATGATTACAAAAGACCTATCAGTTTGGCGTAGAGGACAGATAGACCAATTATATAGAAGAGCAATTCAAATAGAAGTTCACACGTAAAACCATGTTTCAAATAGAAGATATATGCTTAAGAGCTACCCAGAGATATTGCAAGTGTTCCTTTACAATTGCAAATTTTTGTTGATTTGTCTTCAATAATTATCCTGATCTTCTATTTGATTTGGCTTTTGGTGGTGTCCCCCATTGATTTCAAATAGAAACTGGGTACCCCAATAATTCCCCCAATTTCTTCTATCCTTGAGGTATGAACTATATACAAACTGTCAAATGTACACCTATGCATACATGTCAAAATAAAGTAACACCCAGCCTTGATGCGAAACGATTTAGTTCACGCATCACCTTCCTTGTACACTTCTTGATTTGTGCGAGATCTACCCACGGCAAGGTAGAACTGAAAAAGGTCTCTCGCACCTAGCTAGCTATCCTGTATAGCTGCGGTTCCGGTGTCCTTTGACACTATTTCCACAAAATGCTTTGCAAATTTTGTATGATACGTGGTTCAGACGGTTTCACGTACCAACACTGCTTTGTTGTCAATGCAAATTAAATTCTGTCGTTGTACCACAATGTCGTTTGTACCGTGGTTCAAATGGTTTCACGGTACTCATACACACATCGAGTGTCTGTGGTTCAGCTGGTTTCACAAAACACTCCAACAAAAGTCATGCATTCCATACTCAATTTGAAATCAATGTTCTGCATTGTTGCTTTCATCTGATTCTGGTTCGCTAACTCTTGCCAGTACTGGGGATCGCTCACCTCATCCAAACCAGACTGTAAATATCGTCGCCTAATTTGTGATGCAGTTTCACCATCCTCACTTTCATTGGCACTTTCTGGTCCATTTCTGTCAGGCCGTGTTATCGGTGTTGCATCTGAAGCCAATTTTTTCCCGGCAATGTACTCGAGGAAAATATACATCTTGCTCATCAATCTCTTGTGACACCTGATCGCCCATCGCTTCTGCTCCTACATAGTAGTGTGTTGCTATACTATACTCTCGTCTTCGGGTTCTTTTCTTCCTCAATTTCGGGTCCTGCAGATCTAGTGCTATCTGGTGACAAATCTGTCATCTCTCTACACATCATGTGTGCACGTCTTCGAACTCCTGGCTCACGATTCTCCTCTAAAATTGCCAACTGCATTTGAAGAATCCTTTGTCGACGGTGATATCGCCTGCGCCAGTCACGGTCCATCCAGTGACCTCTTCGTTGCGTGCGATTGTTCACACGTCCAGGCATCCAATACAAGAACCATTCCGGTGACCATGCGTCCCATCTCGGTGGCGGGTCCACCGGGTAAGAGAGAACACTGGTGCTCTAGGTGGAGAACCCCGAGGCGGTGGATTTGGTGGTGGTCTCGGTCCATCGCTTGAACTCGCCTGTTCTCCCAACCCAACACCAGCACCATTGTCAACATCTTCTGCTATTGGTAATCCTGGTTCAGGCTCAGCATCGTCTCGTTTTCTCTTTCTGCCCAGCCTCTCTAAAGGCCTTTGGAAACTCTCCCAATGTGTATACACATAGTTGCAAAAACCAATGATCAACAAAATCACCAATGTCAACACCACTTGGTGGTCTCCGCTCTGTTCAGCAGACTCTGGTGCATCTTGTTCTCCACAACCTTTCAATGAAATGGCTTGCAACATCATAGCACATTGTACGAGTTTGTGCGTCCTGCTCTTGTTCCACCTTGTCACGTTTTGGATCCGTTGCTTCCACATGTCAGCTGCTAAGGAGTCCAAATACTCCTCCACCAACACGCTCTCTCACACCACCTTCATCACTCAACCGAACAACTCCCAAGAAGTAGAGAATGAACTGCCTTCGTGCTTGACTTAGTTTGGTGTTTCAAGTCGTCCCTATTGGCAAAACATCGAACAATTTTCGCTTCAATGCCGACTGCAACCAACACAACTCAACGTCAACATGTTTCAATCTGCCCAAACCTGTTCTTTGTTGTCACTGTCGTCCGGAACTGCTGTCTGATCTCATCTCAATCTCACAACCTAGACCTTCACCAGCAGCAGACATGGACACGCACACACAGACAGGCTCATACACACACACCGTGAAAGTTTGACGCACAAACTCTTGACGAAAAATCAAAAACTCTCGCGCTCAAAACGACTAGTCAGTCAAGTGTCTCAACGACCCGAGTCGAAAACGGAGAAAAAGCAGGCAAAAGACACACACACTTTTCGCCGCACACTTGAGCCAAAGTGACGAACGTTCTCCAAGGTTCACAAATGTTCTCGGGACATTTGTGGACATGCAAAACCATACTCAAAACACTTCAACGCTTCACAAAAGTTCTCAAAACAGTTGGAAAAAACTAAGAGCATAGTTCAAACATCTTCGGGTGTTCTCGGACACCTCGTAAACAAACTACAAACATATGGAAACATTGAAAGGGATCTTTCCATGTCCTCAAAAGGTAACGAACGTCATTCAAACAAGTCGTAGGGAGTCTCCGCTCCTCAAAAACTTTCTTTGCGGTCTCTAAACAAGTGGTATGGAGTCTTCGCTCCTCAGTACCGTTGTATTATGAATTCTCACACCCCCTTTCGAAGCTCACATGCCACTTTGGACAGTGGTAACTCGCTGTTCCAGCAAACGCTTGCGCTCACAGCAGCGACACAAACCAAAAGAGGTGACTTTCTTGCCTTGCAAGTATTGGCATTGACGGTCAAGGTGGAATTTGGACCCAGTCGGAGTCACAAAAACCTCAAGTACCTTGTTCACTGCATTCATCTTCGTCCACTCGGAAGTTGCAGTGTTCTCAATCAACACCACTCGGCCGGCCAGCAGCGCTCAAAGCAGCAGCACCTGAAGAAGCAGCAGCATTCAAAGAGACTCTCTCTCTCATCAGCGGCTCTTGCCTCTCTGGCTTCTCGGCCATCAGCCTCTTCTGTCTCAAAAGGCTCTTCGCCATCCCAGCAGCGCCAAAAAGCTTCACAAGCAAGCTCAGCGCGCCATACAACGCCAGCGCAGCGATGCAGCTGCCCTCAAACGACAACATGGCTTCCCGCGCGGACGCCCCACACACACAAACGGCTGCGGAAAAGTTCGGCGAAGAAAAGTTCTCCGAAAGGAAAGAAAAAGTAGGAAGGGAGAGGCGACTCAAGGGTCATTTTTCGACACGAGCACGGCTTTCCTTCCTGAAAAACAGTCTCACTGTTCAACTGATTTCAAGTCTCTCGGAGTAAAGTGGTCACACAGACCGAGACAAGACTTATGAAGTACCTTTGTCAAAAACCTGATCCAATTTCATCGACTCTCGACAGACTCTACGGTAAACAGTCTAAAAGGTGTGAACAATCACAGTTCAAAAGCTGTTGAATTCCAACGGCATCTCACGCACACACATTTTCACATCGATCATCGGAAGCTTCATCCGCAAGTGTCATCTAGCTATCTGTGCAGCAACAAAAGAAAAGGCCCTCAGCCACTCGGTTGCTCAGCTTGAGTTCTCACCTCAAGGATGCACAGATGCAAAAACTCTTCACAAGAAAACGAGCAAATTTCATCGAGTACCTTTCAGTATCATGGTAATCAACTGCATTGAATGGTGCATGTCTCTCAAGACAACGACATTGAAAGCGAGAGTTCAACCGTTGACTCAAAAACGCGTTGGAACTCTGAATCCTGAAAATTTTGCCAATTCGAAGTCCACTCTGGGTTTCCAATCCCATTGAACAAGCATGACATTCACTCTGATATGCCATTCCGTGCTTTTCGAAGAAGTTCTCAAGATCTCGACTTTTCCAATACTGGTTGCATTTTGGCCGTTCGAACGAAACAGTGACAGATACTCCTTCAGATGACTTGATCTCATCAAGATACTTTCCAGATGACTTCAGAAGATAAAAGAACTCTTTCTCGTGCTTCTCATTCCTTCCCCAAAAATTCAAGAGAGGGGATCCGCCTTTGCAAGGGAGAGAGATATGCACGAGACATGCCACCTGAGATCCATGCGGGCATCGACTGAATCCATCACGGAGTAGGGTCAGCACCTTATTGCGCACTCCGATCTCCTGGAGGTTTGCATGGATTCCTATGTATCGAACATAATCAACTTCTCGACAAGATCTTGCGATGACTGACTCCTTGCCGCAAGCTACTTCTAGCACAGTATATTGAGGATACTTGAGTTGATCCGACTCTCGGATGATTGAAACGGCTGAGTCACACTCAAAAGTCACTCTTGACAAAGTTTCGTTTGAACATCTTAGGGTCACACTCCGTGGGGGCAATGAGGCCAACAGCGAGAAGATGGTAACGTTCTGCTCAGCTGTCAACACACCGGTGCCATGGCATGCTATGCAGCATTGAATTGGCCGGGGTGTTCCTGAACTGGCTGCTGAACTGCCTGGTGTCGAAGTGTGGGACCCCATTC